TTGAGTTTCCATTTATATATGAGAATAAAAAAAACCTATTTATTATGGGTGGCATTACCTTACGTGCATCATTGGCTTCATAAAATTCTTGGATCTTTGACACATGTAGCACACGTCAATAGTTATCATTTGTAATGTAAATTTATGGTGTTTTTGAGAAAATTTTAGTTACTTTTGACAAATGTATGGGTTAATGATTTGTGGTAATTGACTGTAAGAGAGTTAAATATTTTTGAAGAAGTATGGAGTTGAGGTTACCAAGTAGAAGACAAGTCAATCCAAGTTCTGAATGAAGCTAATCTAATCAATAAACTTGTGGAAATCTCAATAATATGTGGACTCAATTATAATAAGATGAGGGATGTTAATTTTTTGCTTAGTAAATTTTAAATTTAAGGTTATTTATGAAACTAGATGTTCAACTTAACATTTTCTTTCAAAGTTTAACTTATTTTAAAAAGAATGTAGGGATAAAGATGAAGATAAGAAAGATTGACTAGCATAATACTATTAGGACATTGTTAAGTCCTTATGGTTAACTCCACTTTGAAGGAAAATCATGATATCTCTTGATAGTGATGTATTCCTAGCTTTATGTTGATTTTACCTAGGCTTACTATAAAATTGTAAGATTATTTCATTGACATATTAATTCGTAATGTATTATACTTTGAAAATAGGTCAATAAAAGACAAAGTGTTTGAAGCATTATAATCAAGTGAGATGTCTATCTGCACTTCACATATAAATGAATATAATTCATCATCTGTCAATTTGTCAATTGGAAGTTATACTTTGTAATTTATTGTAGTCAAAGTATATAATGACATATCTATATAACCAAAGTATAGTAGTAGTCATATATATATATAGTAATATAATATATTTACTATTGATTATATCATATATTATATATATTCTATTTTCATAGAAGGATTCAGTTTATTTCTAAATATTCTATGCAAATTTTATATTTGGTTGCTCTTAAAATAAATACCATGTCAAAAAGGGTGTGGGCTAATGAGGTTTTACTTTTTAAAATATGCATAGTATGATGTTATTCCTAGTTGAAGATGTATAATGATGATTGATTACATATGGGGCAGTGGCGATTAGACCTTTAATGATTTATATATTGAAAGCCATCTTATATGATAAATTGATAATAAATATTGGTAATGAAATAATAATTATAATAATATAATGTTATGAATAATAGAATGTAAAGATGAAATACAATAATAAAATTTTAGGATGTTTCTGTTTTACAATCATATAATTAACATATTATGTATTGATGGGATTAATAGCGCACTATCAGGATTAAAATCAATATTTATCGGCGGCATTTTCCGGCAAAAAATGATCAAATTTTCGAACGTTTTTAAATTTTACGTCGGCTTTCTGAATGGCAAATTTGCCCAGGTGAGAAACATCCGCGTAGGAAAATATTTGCGACGCGTATTTTTCGGAAGGGAAAAAATTTTTATATGGTGGTCGTTTTCTGGATAAAAAGACATCGAAAAATATCTTAAAATCAATGAAAAAAAAAAAAAACATGCATGCTGTTCTAGCCACCCCACCCTTCCCAGCGGCCGCCAAGAAGCTGTCCGCACTGCCAGCCGCAGCTCCCACCCTGCTCCTTCCGAGCTCCCGGCCTTGCCGCTTGCCCTCTAGGAGCCTTCCGCGATGCCCGCCCAGGCTCCCCCCTGGTCGCTGCCCACCAGGAGGGCGGCCTGCCCGCCCAAGCTCCCGCCCTGTCCGCCCGAGCTCCCACTCTGCCTGCTTCCCCCTGGAGGCCTACCCGTGCTGCCCGCCCGAGTTCCTGCCCTGCCCGCTGCCCGCTTGGAGGCTTGCCCGTGCTGCCCTGCTTGTCCGACTGCCCGCCTGGTGCCCAGGCGCGCGTCTAGCCTGGGATTCAAACTGAGTCCATTTTGCTAATATAAGTCAGCCCAACCATTATGCTATGAGGGAAAATGTGTTATAAAGCTTATTATTTTTTATTTAAACTATATTATACAAAAAATTATAATTTAAAATAAAAAATAAAATATTAAAGTTAATAATTAATTAAATATGTTATTAAATTAATAATTAATTAGACTAAGTTATTAAATTAATAATTAATTAAAATTAACTAATTATTATTATTTAGTTAAAATCGCAAGAAAAATTAATCAAAATTATAAATTATATTAGGAAAAGCCGCCGGAAAGCCACCGAAAAATCGCCGGTAATTTTTTTGAAAAATTAGGTCGTCAGAAAGCTGCCGGAAAGCCGTCAAAAAATTGTCCGCAGGTAAGCAGCCGGAAAAATCCACTGGTAATTTACGATTTTCCTGTAGTGTAGATAGATCATAATCGGTACAGATACATATATTGACTACATATGATTAATAATAGATAGAATAGATAATACTGATGATATTGACACTTATATGTTATGATTCCTTTAATCATTTATGAATGCTTTCAATATGATTACTTTACAAATTTATTAATTCTCATACCAACTATTGATTCATTAAAAATATTTCTTATTCTTGTTGTTGATAATTTTGAGCTTTATGAATGATAACTAATCATTAATAAGATTCAATGCTATTAACTATATTGACTAAACTAAGCATGCATATTGATTCTTTAAGCTTTACGTTGGAAAATTTAGTGAATTTGAGTTACTACTATGCTTTTTAGCACATTATATAGATTTTAATGATTTCAGGTCAGAAAAACATTTGAGACCAGGTGGAATTAGATTGTTAGATATCTTTAGGTTTTCTTTTGCTTTTATTTTTTATTTTTTATTTATTTTATAGTTAGGAATTATTGATATATTATTGATTGTACTAATCTCATAGCTAATATATTATGATTTTAGGAGAATGAATATAATGAAATATTTTTATGTATATTATTTTAGATATTCACACTAGATTGATTTATATTAATGAATTTATAGAAGCTCTACTTTATTATTTAAGTGATTAAAAAATGTAATTCTTTCAAATTTGATCTTGAGACATGACACTCTTAATACCACTGACTTAATTCTAGTTGTTGGCATGCTATTAATGGCTTAATTTGGAAACATGAGTCATTTAATATCTCTTCTCTCCAGATAGAATTATAGCATATGAGTTAAAGATGAGGCGATGACTCTCTTTTTAAATTAACAATGGATTTAACTTCTCTCTTGGGCTAATGACAACTCACTATAAGAGAGAATCCATGGCAATATTTTTTTTCCTTACTAAACACTCAAGTTGATAACAATTCTTCATCTTTTATGCATAATGGAAATTGGTCTATCTAGGCTTATCTTCTTATAGTGTTATAGTGACATCATTAATTTAACCACAACTAAAGAAAATGGCATATTGCTTTCAAAGTCATCTCTTACCTTATCTACTTCCAAACAAGTTTTATTTTATGATAACCCTGATTTATTCGGCCAAATTTTCTTGGGAGTTTGCTACTCATGAACATCATTTGTATGTTTCTACTAGCAACAATCTGAATCTTACTCTTGCATATGCTTTCTTGTGAGTTTGCTATGAAAACAATTCAATATTTATTATTTGTTAGAAATTATATATTATTTAATAATAATTATTATTATAAGATATCGGCAACCTAATTATACTAGTTATCTCTAAGATATTATAATTAAAAACTTCACTTTATCATATATAAAAAGTTGATGGAGAGCATGAACTACTAGATATCCATTTTGAGTCTTATCCAACCACTTAATTGGTTGTTTTGATTTTCTCTCTTATCTTATAAGAATATGTCATTTATATTGATGTAAATTGAAAGAAGGTATATGCTCTCTTTATATTATTGTAGAGCTTTTACTTATTTTGTATTTACAATATAATTGATATAAGGCCCTTATCCTTAAAAATATATATATATTGTGGTGCATGCAAGGCTGAGTAGATACCACCATCTAACGTTCGACACGTGTCCATCCTGACAAAAGAAAACTAACACCGTGATCCCTCCTCCGCTACATATTCCCGAAACTATCCCTCTCAAGCTGGGGACATCGAGGCTGTTTTCGTCATTTCATTAGGAATACTAAATTACACCTGAAATGCACCCACGTGGGCACCGCTTATGAGTGGGCTAATTGTGCTATCCTGAGCATAGAATAGCCACGTGGACGTGGGTGACAGTATTCGTTTTGTTTTAATACATACATCATATAAGATTCACATATCGATGTTGTGGCCCCCACCCATCACGATTGAGAATAGGAGTTTTGGTCAGGGCTGCCCGTCTACCCGCCTGCCCCTTGTTCAACCGGCCTGGGTGGTTCGGGCTATAAATTGAACCGCCGTCCTATGAACTGCAGTTTGCCGCTTTGGCACCCCTTCTCTTTCTGTAAGCCTTCCTCTTTTCTATTATGCTCTCATTATTTTTTTTTAATTTAAAATAATTACACTGTATATTTTTTCATCGGATCCGTGTTTGAATCCAAGCAATCTTCTGGTTTGAGTTCCGTGTAATAATTCAAGCATTTGGGAACCGATTAATTTTAAAAAATATATAACGTCCATTTATTAACAAATTAATGCTTTTATATATCTTAACAGATTATTTTTTATTTTTTTATTATTTTTTAACTATTAAATTTTAATAATGTATAATAATTATTTTGTTGCAGATCTGCACCATATCGTTTTTTTTTTCCTTCTGTCGTTGAAGATCTAGATCAATGGCGTCCAATTCAGCTTTTGCGGGGGCGGAAAACAAGCAGCAGTTGCCGTCGCCGCGGAACCTGGGGAGGTCTTGGACATCGAGCTCCGTCACGTGTGAGCATGGTTTGGCTTCGTCGGCGCCACCGAAGTGCGTCTGCGCTCCGGCGACCCATGCTGGATCGTTCAAGTGCCGACTCCACAGGGTAAACTCTCATGGCCACTCCGCTCCGGCGGCCCCTCGGCAGCCTTCCGCCACCGCTACTGCTAATAGAACCGTGGAGGCTTCGTAAAACCAAAGAACAATAAGGACCTAATATCCTCCTTTTCAGATTTAGTTGAACTTAAGGTCGATCTTATGATCAGTGAATCAATTTGGAGGGGAGGAGACTTGTAATACTTCCGCTTTTGGGAAGTTTCTTCCGTAATCTAAGTAACTTCATGTTATTATGTGAAAATATCAAGATATGGGATGGAATGTTGGATGATGTCTCCTCTCACAGATTTCAGTGAGATGGTTAATGATATGAAGGTTATTTCCATTATGACCTAATTTTTAACTATCAACGATTTAAAATCGTATGGCCTTGTGAACTTTATAAAGATTAAGATTAATTCTATAAGCGGCCTGGAAACAGAAATTGAAGAAACTGAGCATGAATTGTTGACCGGACGTTTGGCCTATTTGATTCGTTTTTTTTTTTTAATGTTCTAGTTGGATGAAATATATGAATGAAATAGCTTACGGGGCACTCTTCTTTTCTTAATACAGGTTGTTTTGTGATGATTTTGCGTGAAACGAGAATGCTTCGTTTTTGCTTTGTCAATGGTTGCTGAGAAGTGTCTCGTACGTGTTCTGACTTTCTCTGTGCGTTGTAAGTCGCTGACCATCTCATAAATCTCTCCTTTAAGTTCCGGTTAGCAAGTTCAACAACTTTATGCAAAATTTTGTTCGTAAGTTACAACGATATCTAATATCTGTTTCTTCATAATTTTTTTTCTAGCCGAGTGAGTCATTTTGGTCTTAATTGGGCCATCTGAATCAGGAGAAATTGTTAGACTTGGAAGATTAATTATTCTTTACATAGAGAGTGATATGGGATAGCTTTGTATGGACACAGTTATGTGTTCCAATGTTCCGCACGTAGTATGTGTTATTCTTGACATAGATTGAGGCTTCATTTGGTTTTTCCTCTCCTTTTGTAAAAGATAGTTTTAGAAATATTGGTTAAGTGAATGGAGTTTTCTAACCGAGAAGCAAATATCAAAAAGATTATCAAAACAGTAGAAAAATGAAGTTGCCTAAAAAGTATTTCTATAGAACCGTCCCATCCAAACAACGTCCAAAAAATAATTTCGCCTTTTCTGTTTAAAACTCCGATACAAAGGAGGCCTAAGTTATATGGGATAGCTTTGTAGAGCGTAGGGGCATTCTTTGAATGTGAGGAGTTGGTCTAAATTCAGTCTGGTAATTTCATCTAGTGTAGCACAGTAGCAGCACATGTGGTATTTATATGATCCAATTGTTTTGATGGTCGTTTAAAGATAAAGTTTCTCTTTTTGGGCTACTTGTTTGCTTGAAATTGGATTCTGAAACCATGTAATTTGATGGACATCCATCATTCATTTTGATGTGATTAGAAGCCAACACTGATAATAGGTTCACCAATCCCTTTCAAAATTTCTCAAATATAATGGTTTTGTTTTCACTTATGGAATGAGAGAAGAAAAAAAAAATTGTAAAAACATATTTATATCTTCCAGCAGGTCAAGTAACATTTACTTGTTAGATACTGCAACATGTTCTATTTTCAGTTCAACTGATTTATTGCAGCATTTTGCTATTTATTTGCTTTCGTTTTGAGTTATCTATCTCTTGCAATAATAAATCATGTTTTCTACGCAGTTCTAATTATATCATTTTTTTTTCTCCATATTCTGTTCAGATTATGACCTTATGACTGGCTTCTTCAAAATGCCTCTGCTTCCATGTTCATTATCAGATTCTGCGTTGCTTTTCTTGAGTTTATATTCTCTATAGTTAAACGTACATAAAGAATGGAAATTATGTTGCATGAATGATGCTATCAAGCTGCTGGGAATAATAGTTGGGCTGGAACATTTTTTAGTGTCTATGAGCATTATATGGGAGATGACTTTACAAGATTGAATGGTGTGATCACAAGAATGAATGGTGATGAAGGATTCATATGGACGACAAATATTTTGGATGAGGCTATATTGGTGTGATTGTGTATGAGTGGCGTTTTATATGGCAACAGTAGTTAGCTTAAGTCCAACCTTGAGACATAACTTTAGTTATTAGTACTATTTGACTTAAATTTAGTGTAGAGTGCCTCTGCTGGGGTTGTCTTTGAGATTTAGTTTGTGTTAAACCCATATTATTCCGGATAAAATAAAATCACCTTGATTTCATCCTCCCAATGAAGGCCTCGTTGTTTTTCAAGAGTAAGTAAATTATTATTTTGCATTGTACCTTAGGATAATTTTTTAAAAGATTCATATCTTGATTATTCGACAAGTTTTACGCTGGTTGTCGACTACCTAACGCGACCCTCCACTTTTCTCATCTAGGATTTGGGATCTGATAACAGCAATGTTAAAGTGGAGGAATGCATGGGGCTTGTTGTGTGATAGAAAAGTCTCCCTCAAACTTAAAGGAAAATTCTATAAGATGGTCGTGAGACCAGCAATGCTTTATGGTGTCGAATGTTGGCCATTAAAAGAGAGATGAGGATGCTTAGGTGGATGAATGATTTTATCCTTAGAGATAGGATACAAAATAAGCATATACGTGAATAGGTTGGACTAGCTCCAGTGGAAGATAAGATTAGAGAGAGTCGACTTAGATGGTTTGGTCGCATTAAACGGAGGCCTTCCGATGACCCGGTTAGGAAAGTAGAGGTATTAGATTTGACTTATGTTAAAAAAGGTAGAGGTAGATCTAAAAAGACTTGGGTTAGAAAATATTAGTAATGATATTTCTTTATTAGATTTAAATGAGATTTGACTTTTAACATGACACAATGGCAAAAAAGAATTCATGTAGCTGACCCCACGTAGTGGGACAAAGGCTTGATGTTATTGTTATTGTTGTTGTAGTATTTTACCTTAGGATAAGTGTTAATAGTTGGGTATGTAACAGGACACATTGGACTTGTTGTAGCAATCAGTCTATGTCCTGCGGTAGGTAGGTGAAAGGAACAAGGAATAACCCAGGCCCAACATGGATCAGGCCATCTAGAACAATATTTACAAATTATGCTCCAGATTTGCATTAGGGATGCGTCATTGAGATCCTTGTGATTTTGGTGAGATTTTAAGAAAGTTAGGTACCTGACTGATATTCTATTGAGGCATCCTTTTCTTGGGTCACCTAGCTGGTTGATTTTCTATTGAGGCATCCTTTTCTTGGGTCACCTAGCGTTGTTCGCACGTCTCCTTCATGTTCAATCACTTCGATTCTAAATACTGAGATATTTTGCTTTCTCAAAAAGCCAATAGGAATTTCTCTGAGTAGTTTATGTTATCAACTAATTAATTAGTGTTTTCCAGTGCCGGGGTAGCTGCTCTGTCCATTTCTTGATTAATACCATTTTCTTTAGAGCTGCACCTTCTGGGATAAAATGCTAGTCCATCGTTTTATTTTCTGTAAATTTATCCCCTTTGTTTCCATGCAATTTATTGTAATTTCTTCTTCCATGTTAAACAGGAGACCTGCATCTTTGGCCATGAATATTTCCATTCTGAGTAAGTAAAAGACAGAACTTAGGTCGAAGGTACAAAATTACTGGAGACTCATTTGGCTGCAAGAGAAGATTTGAATTCCGAAGGTTTCACGAGAGATTATTATGTGCGGACACCCAACACAGCTTATCGTCCAGAGGTGAATTAGGTGCAGTTACGTCATCCAGTACCGAGCAGTATCGAGCCGCAGTACTGAATAGGGGGTGATATGGTGAATTTTCATTGGACTTTGGACGGCCTTCGGTGTCCGCACATAATAAGTCATCAGATTTTCACATCTGCAGAACCAAAGCAGTTTGATTTAGAAGAGCTAGCTTGTATTTCATAATCTGGAACAAGATGTGCTAAGACTGACTTCAAAATCAAATTGAAATTTCTGAAGCTCGTAGTTTCATGCTATGCCGGTAGATACTTCAATATAAATATCATGTATTTTTTTATTTTTTAAATAATTTTACAATAATATTTACCTCGTAATATCATCATCCTTCATTTCTAGCTATTATAGTGCTATTGAACTACTGATTTTGTACTTCTTTTACCTTCTGATTTCGCTAATTTTTAATGCAGATGTTTAGAAATCTCCGAATGGGTTTTGCTAGTTTGGGCTTATGCTTGCAAGTGTCAAAATAGGTTAATTGGTCGGATTCAGATCCGACCTAAATTCGTCAACCTCCAGTGAATTCTAATCCGATCCGCTAGGAGCTCGAATAACCCAAATTCGGCTGATTAATTTTTAACTGATTAATAATATAGTTTAGGTTAATTAATGACAAATACGATCACATCTATAAATAAAAGAATTGAAGGCATATCTATAAATAGAAGAATTGAAGGAAAAAATATTAAACAGTCATTTTTAGTTGGGAATTTTTTATTTAAATTCAGATTTTTGGGATCGGTTTCTGAGCATATTCTTAATTTGGTTGTTCACAAATGCGACGAGTAGATTTTTGGTGCTGATTTGAGCTTATTTTTTATATTTAATTTCATTTTTCTTGAACTAAAATCCATTATTTCTAGTCTTGAATTATTTAAAAAATTGTGAATAATAAAAATTTGTATAATCTCAACAAAAAAGCTGAAAATAATCAATCCTCTTAGCCCTGTTTGGAAGGAACTTTTATTACGTCCTTTGATCGGACGTAGATATACGTTTGGTCAGAGGATTGTTACTCAATTTTTACTCGGTATTTGATTGGTATTGCTAGGTATTGTTTGATAATAACGAGAAATACCACTCTGGGAAGATCAATACCAAGTAATACCGAGCAATACCGAGTATTACCAAAAAATACCGAGTTTTTCTAGAAAAAACTCTGTATTGCTCGGTATTACTCAGTATTTTGTCTTCTCGTAATGATATTTCTCGTTATTATTGGTATTGCTCGGTCTTTGCTCGGTATTTCTCGTTTTGTGATTGTGATCTTAGTGCCGGCCGAACGTAGCTCTACGTACGTTCACCGGACAAAATAAAAGTTCGGAAGTGCGTCTATTAAGTCAAAATTTGTATTTGATCATATTGATTGCTTTTATGATAATAAGAAAGTTGAAAAACCAACGGCTTGTGCAGGTAATTAATCATCATCATCATTAGTCATTTTGTGATTTCCTTTTTTTATTCATTTTTTTTGCTAAGCTAAGTTTAAATTTTCATTAATAAATTATTTGCACGTATATATAAATATACTTTTTATATTTTCCTTCAATAGCTAAGCATAATGTTGGGCCGGTTGTGGGGCCAAAATGGGCTCCTTTCCTTATTCTCCTCCAATCTGTCTAAAAATTTCCTTAGCTTAATTATATCAAATTCCGAGTATTTTTCATTCACATGGGTGGTTGAATATATGCGTTTAAATTCAAGGTTGGTAATTGACACATCTCAAGATTTTGATGTGTATTTGAATTTAAAAAAGAGTTAAATTTAGGGTCATGTAATTTAGGTTGATGTAAATTTCAATTTGATCAAGTTTATGACTGAATTGAATGTCTCGATGAGATGAACTCGTCAATATCGTAAGTGATCTGTTGATTTAAAAAAAGTCGGAACCCTTTGGAGGCTAGGTGGGGCAATAAACTTCCAACCCCCCCTTAAAAATATTAAAATACTATGGTCTTTAGGCAATTGCCCCAAATATAATTAAATATATTGTGTAGATGTGTTATTGTTAGGAAATGATGAACCAAATACAAAGAGAAATAGTAAATCAAAATTTGTTACAAGGGCGCTGCCTCCTTGGACCCCCGACATATATGCCAACAGTTATTTATAAGTTTGCCCACTTGAAAATTATGGCTAGTTCTGCCCCTGTCAAAAACTTTGAAACATAATTGAAATTTTTAGAACATTAACGATACTAAAATCTTTTATATTATAGTCAAACTGAGTGGATTGATGAGATGAAACTAAAAAGTTTAAGCATGGTCAATTTTGAGGTCATTATGGTATTAAAATGATGAATAAATTATCTAGGTTAAGAGGATGAATATGAGTCATTCGATGGATTATTCTTTATTTAGGTCAATTTTATCAAAATATCCCTCTCAATAAGATTATAATAACTAGAACTTAATTTTTTTATGGTTGTAGATTTTTAGAGTTGAGGGATATTAAGAACTCTCTTGCTTTTCTTAAAATTTGCTATTGTCAACCATCATCAACAACTGCCACAACCATCATTTAATTTTAGTAGTATGAATCCCATTGTTGATATCCAACACCATTATTGGACTTCAGTTGTCTAATTATGGACACTTGATCTCTATAATCTATGCAATATGTGTTAGACACTTGCTATTAACTATGTGTAATTTTATTAGAAGACTACTTTATTATATTTTTAGTTATATATTGGACTATTTCAACTAGATCATACCCCATGATTTTAAAATAGTGGTTGTGACGCTTTATTGATGTAACAGTCCACTACTATTGATGTAACAGTCCACCATTAAGCAACTCATATTCATCGAGTAGAAGCATAAATAATTATTAACAAGGACATCAATCCTCATCTTAAGTAATTTAAATATTCCTTAAATGTAAGAATTTTCAATAAGGAATTGATCATCCTCTTTAATGAAAAAAATAAGAGCAATCAACTAGAAATGCCTTCTTGCCAAATTCAGCCTAAATCATCTAATTATATCATATTAATCATATTTATTACTAATACTTAAATGGAGATCCAAATTTTTTTATTACTTCAAGTAGCCAAAACTTTCAAGAAATCCAAATGATAGAGATAAATCCCAATATTCTTACTTTCATCATTCTAATAATGCGTTAAAATAAGTATTTCTAGTTGACGAAGAGATTGAACATCAATTTCACCAAAGGCATTCAAGCCATTATTTATATGAACAACATGTAGATTGTCATCCTCAAAATATAGGATATCAAAAGAGCTTAGAAAATAAATTATTGGAATTTTTTTATAGATGTGACATCATATTGAAAGATTCATTTACTTAAATAACTCAAAGAAATTTGAATTCCTTAGAATTTTTACAAGAATTTATATATTGAATTTTATTAGAGATAAAAATGTATTTCCAAGTATCTATTAAAATTATTAATAAATTCATTTTTTTATAAATAATGTTGCATTTAATAATAACCCCCTTGAAGGCACACACATGATGTAGGCTTGATTGAGAGCTAGTAGTGGATATAGACCGAACAAGAAAGATTTTATGAGAGTAAGTGGTTAATAGGTTCTCCACTCCTCCAAAAATATCATAAGGCATAACAAGTGCATTATAAACCTTAGAAGACAAAAACCTCGTGAGATACAGGTTTCTCATTTTCTCTAAATTTTCATATGGCTAAAAATCTTAGAATGTATATATTTCTTCAATTCTTCAGAACTCTTAGAAGACTAATAGCCCTAAAAAGGCACAAATTCATCTAGTTCGTAAAAAATCTCACAAGATTAAGAGCCTACAAAAATCCAAGTTTTTTAATTCTAGAAAACCTCAAAAGACTAAAATTTAAATAAGTATATATTTTTCAAAACACATCTTCATTTCAATCATAGAAGAAAATATATAAGAGAAATAATAAAGAAATATTTTACCAGGATAGTACGAATGAACTTCTTCACACTCCTTCCTTTAATGGTAGTATTTCTTACACAAGATAGATTAAGATCTCTAATTAAAGTATATTATGCTTTCATAACCTCCCTTAAACTTTATTCTGAGGGGCACTAAAGAACTACATTAAAAACTATTAAACTCTATTGAAAGTGTCTATTAAACTCACTAAAGAACTACATTAAAAACTCCTAAATAAAAGAACTCAAAAACTTTTTTATAGTAAGTGTAAAAATGGCTCAAGATGTCACAACGCTTGAAATGATGGCACAACTACATTACAAGATAAACTAGCATCTTGGTGCATTGGGATTACTACACTGACTCGGCATGTCCATTGGTTGAACTGGCATGTCTTTTGACTAAACCGACACAGCTCCTCGATTTGGCAACTTCTCCACCATAGAGTTGTAAAAATGCTTAAATATACAACCTAGCATTGCGAGGTAGTGAAGAACAACGTTTTGGTGATTAATTCCCTCAGACTCAGGTGCTACAGTGCTATTTTATAGCGCACCGTTGCTGTAAAACCCTATGGTGCTAACCCTAGCTCCATCAGGGTGCTAATCTTCCTAAAATTCTAAACCAATCCATGTTGCAATTTTTTTAGTAAGGCGTTGAGGCATTATAAATGATGATGCTGACACGCTATAACTGTGGGCGCTGCAGCGCTGATTTAACACTTGTAAATTTTTGCCATTTTCTAAGATTTTTCTATATAAACACAACTAAAATAACATATTTTTAATGAATTAAAATATAATAAATATTACAAAATTTACACTTAATAAATACCTCCCAATTTAAGCTATTGCTTGTCCTCAAGTAATGGTGTAATCAACTATTGATCAACTTAATAGCTAAAATAAAAATTGGTAATTTAAAACTACTAAAATATAAGATAGTATATCATGGTTTAGAAGTAATTTGGAATGATCAAAGTTGTAATACTAATTTGAAAAATCATAAATAATTATCCTAAGTAATCATCATTGTTATTTCTTGAATTGAGCTTATCTACTATAAGTGTATGTACAGGTTTTTACTTATGAATTTAGAAATAAATAATATATCATTTAAATATTATTTCTGCTTGTAGTTGAATTAGAATTTCATTAGTGTACCATCATACGTATTAGTTCACTTATCTTTTCATATTTGATTTAAGTATTAAGATTTTTTTTTTTTTTACTTGAGCTTCAACTTATACCAATTGAATGTACTTATCTTTTTTTCTTTTCCAAGTTTCTCTTTTGATTTTTTTATGTTTTTCACTTTTATTATACTTGAAGTACATATTAATGATTTTGAATATAAGTTTAGCCTTAATCCCTCTGGCATTCCGAATTGATTTTATGTAAGGATTTAGTAAGATTGTTTATTTCATAATTAGGTTTACAATGATCTTCATAAATTAAGCTACACACTTCTTTTTCCTAAACTCAACTATTCATTCTTCAATTCAATAGTCAATGAAAGAGTGTATAGCTTCTATGTTCAAGGCAAGTCAATGACTTAAATAATCTTTCTTAGATAATAATTATGTTTTTCAAACTCTGAATTATTATACTTTGTTCATTCAAATTAACAGCTAGAGTTTTATTATTATTCTTAATTTTAGATAATTTTTAGTGTTTTTATTATGGCTAAATAAACAATCAAAGTGCAAGCATTGTGTAGAGAATAATTTTCAAATGTAAGGGTCAAAATGAAAAAATGTAAACTATATTAATTAAATATAACTAAAAAAAAAAAGATAACTTATCTTTTTATTGAAATGGTAAAAAACTCATAGGACAATACAAACTAATAAAAAATATATAATAAGATAACTAGTGCATGAAGCACTATCCTACCAATCCATCTTCACTCAAGACCTACATCCTCAACTCTCATTAGTACAATATAATGGCTCTCATAGTCATATAAAAACTATCATAATCATTGGGATCTCCCTAATCCTGCTGATAAATAAGTGATAAATAAAGAAAATAGAAAGAGATACAACAAACAACATTAACACAAATAATCTCCCACCAGCCTGTTGATAAAAGAAAAATGAAAACGACAATCACTAACAACTACTCTGATTCTTCTTCCTCCTTTTCATTAGCTTCACTACTACACTATACAAATGACTTATATTTAGGAGCAGTATGGAAATGCAATTGATCTAGATTTTCAACAAAAGGGCTCCTCTTAAACATCCCCACTAAAGCCTCATTAAATTCAGTTATGTAGTGGTAATGATTTTCCTACATACCTGAGTAATGAGTCGACCATTACCTACTAGATCTACTCATAAAAATTAGTCACACTATCCATTTGCTCCCTCAAATTATTCACCTACTCACCTAGAGACTTTTGAGTCCTAGAACTCTTGGTATTGATGTTGCTAGGCCTACTAGTCAAATGAGGCTGACTAGAACTAGCCTCCTCCTTTACATCTAGTTTTTTTAAAACACAAAAATTTTCGTATAGTGAGGGTTGAAATAGGGAAAATTTGTTCGTCATTAGGGTCACCCAAAATACCAACATTTATACATAAAGCATAGATAAGATAAGGAAGCCCCATGCTCACAGAAGTAGCGCCCTAGATAATGTAATTCAAAGATGAATGAATAAACTTTCCCACATTAGTATTGTAATTAAATTGAATAACATAGTTAAAAACAACATGATCTTTGGTTTCTTCACTAAAATTTTTATTTGGTGATAAATAGAGAGAGATAAATAATGTTAAACTTTTCATAGCTAGATTAAGTAAGATGTGTGAAAGTTAAAAATTTTCTTCTCTCTCTTTTTTCAAACAACTCCACTGTGGGTCCTACAAATAAGTCTCAAAATCTCATCAGGATCATAGGCTCCAAAATGTTACAATTCAAGCTGATGAGTTTATATTTTTTATTCTAACAAACATTGTGGATCACATCATCATGTTGAAGGATAGGTTCAGTTAAGGGAGATTACTCTTAAAAGTACCACTGATTAAGAGATTGTCTTCCACTTCTAATTAGGAATTCTTCACGAACCAGTGCCATAGTTCATGATGTAGAGTGTTTTGTGGGTGTAAAGCAACAGAAGGTCGAGCTAAATCTTCAGCAATAACTTGGGGAAAGTGAGATTGTCAACCCGTACGTGAAGGATGGGTAGAGCTTGCTGTGTCAACAAGTTCATTGTCTTGACATGATGGAGGATGCAACCTTAACTTAGGAAGAGGAATATCTGCATGAAGATGTTCAGGTCGAACACCTTCGGCCAGTGTTAGTTCTCGAGGGAGAAAAAATTCTTCTTGTTGTACTAGCACTAGTTACTGAGTCTCTCACAGAAGTTGAAGGATCTCATTTTGAGATTCTTCCATCTTTTAGATACGGTCTTCTATGGAAGGTCTTGAAGTTACTTCTCCAATAGTGTTTTGCCCCGTGGGATAAAAAGAGACAGATACTTGTCATCCATGATTTCATAGACTGATTCGTGGATTGTTGTGTGTTGGAGTGAGAATCTCCCAAGAAGCGATTGCTACGATAGTTGGCCATTGAAGTGGTGCTTAGGATAGTGGGATTGAGCTTCCTATAGACTGTGTCAAACTATTGCGGGCTAGAATATTCGCGATGGTAGCTGAGTAAATTTTTTCATCTTAGCGATGTACTGATATCAATCACACAAACAGAGAGAGAGAGAAGTAAAAATCTCGATCTTTTTATGTGGAAAGCCCAAAAAGGGAAAAACTATGGGGTCTCGCCTAGATGAATAGATTCCACTAAATTTGAGTGAATTATAAAGGCTGACCCATCCCTTGACTTAGAGACGATAAAATTATAGTAGTTTGGAGAGTTCGACAAAGGTCTAGCGATAATCGAGCAGAAGTCTGACGGCGTCCTGGCAAACATTTAGGGATGGGGATAATCTGAAGAAAGTTGGGCGGAAGCATGGCGACACTCGGTTGTCGTGTGGAAGTCTCGAGGCGGTCCAACGGTGATTTAACGAAGGTTGAGCTGAAGTCTGACGGCAGTCAGCGGTCGGGTGGAATTCCGACAATGGTCGGCGGTCGGGCGGTGGTTCGACGATGGTCGAGATGAAGTCTGGCGGTGATTAACGGCCGAGCGTTGGTCTGATGATAGCCAATGGGGGTTCTCTGACTATGGTACTTGAGCACTTGAAGCATCATAGCTCTCTCTAATCTCTAGCCAAAAGGTCCCCTTTATGTAGAGAGTGGGGGTCCCCTTCATGTAGAAAGTGAATGTCTATTTATAAATTTTCATGAGTGACACACCCCATAAATATAGAGAAGATCCGAGGCAAATTTGGAGTGCTTCATCGGATGAATCGTATTGATTCCCCCAGCATAGAGGGTTTTTAAACTGCTTAAGTGCCTTAATTAACAATGTATGAATTCAGCGAGCATGTGCTCGTTGGATTCATCTCGCCAAGCCGCTCGATTTGACTATAACCATGCCATATTTTGATATCATTTTTTCATCCCAATAATGCTTTAAACCTTCCAAATGTGGTTCGGGCCCCTGATTTGGACCCATTTGGGCTCGATTAAACCGATTTTGATGTTGTTAGATTCTTCTCTTTGAAACATTCAGTTTGACTATAAGTTTGTTGAAATTGGAATTCAAAAGTTCCCAAATTTAATTTTGAAATTTTCCAACTTGAATATGCCTCAAGATTCATGCATAATCAAGTTCCTTTTTGGCGACGTATCAATCTTATTAAATTTTCATAGAGTATTTTATTTTTGATCTTTTGATGAAAATATAAATCAACTTTAAAAAATGATAAATATATTTCACATAATTTTAATATAAAAAATGACATGCATAATTAATATAGTTTATCTATTGTAATTATATATTCTAAAATATGCACACTGAGTTATCTTACATGTAAATGTTATATGCATTATAAATGATATAAAAAAATCTATATGGAGTATGAGTTTAAATATTAACTATTTTATACATATTATGAAATAAGTTAATGCAAAAAAGACTGGATATTATGATTCAAGATAGCAAAGACATGATACACTACACATGAGAGTGGGCTGCTGAGCTTTTTTTAAGTATAAGTTAGTGGTGCAGACTTGATACATGATGTGAGATATAAGTTAATGATACAATATGATTTTGAGTATTAACGGACATGGGTTAACTAGTTTCATCTTTTTTTGCATCTAAATATTTTTATTTCAATATATATATATATATAGCCTAACCTTTTGTTACTCTTAGTTATAATTTTAACAAAATTTTAATTAAAATTATTAAATAAGAAATAAATAAACCCTGAAAAAAACCTACAATCCATCCACCAAAATCGCAACATCAAAACTTCAAACATAGTCTGATGAGGCTCTAATAGAAATAGTCGGACAGATAGTTATGAATCTCTCGGCTAATTTAAACAAAAAGCCTCAACCACGTTTCTCATACAAATCAAAAGCTCAGACATCACGATCTCTTTGGCACTCAGCAGGCATCGTCGGGTATCTGCTACGATCGGTGCAATAATTGTAGATCGTATATCTCTCCCTGACCCAACGGAGCCGGTCGTACTGCTTGGCATCGAGGTTGCGAAACTCGTTCTGATCCCACCACCGTCGGCCCTGAGTGGCGCAGAATGTTTCGTTCGTGGAGGCCTCGCAGCCGTCGATGTGGAAGCCGCGGTAGGCGGCGATGAAGGGAGCATTGGCCCAGTTCGTCTTCTCGAGGCCGCCGCGGGTCGCCCAGTCGTCGGCATTCCAGAGGCTGGAGTAGAGCTTCATCGGCTGATTGAATGGGTACCGAACGCCGATGTCCTTGCTGTTCTTGAATACCCGGATGGGCACATCATCCACGAAGAACCTGTGATTAGTTTGTTCAGAGAGGCATTTAGTCGAACAGGTGTGTGGAAGCTGATGATTGGGTTTTCTATTTACTTGGGCTTGTTTGCTTACTTACTGCCGACTTGGTAGGACAGTTTTTTTTTTTTATATATTTTTTAAAATAATTTTTTTGAAACATAATTTTTTGAATTAGAAAATTTTTAAACAGAGATTAACTAGCATTCATCATCATCCTTCAAAAACATCTAATCCCATGGTTATGAAGAGAGACCGTCCAAGGAGCCAAAACCAACCAAATTGATAAGGAAATAAGCCTCCAGCCAGCCAAAACCATCAGCATAATCAGAATTCTAAGAGCCAGTGCAACTGCCCAAGAAGCTCAAAGAAGCAAATGTTGAAAAAAAATGATAGATTTTCCATTTTGATGTTTTATAAGAAACAACCCCCCTTATTTTAGCACAGTGGTAGCATGACAGCAAAAGAATTGTCAAATAATCTATCATTTCTAATTCTCCAAATGTAGTAAATGGTAGCACATAATAAAAGATAGTAGAAGCTTCTCAAATCCTTACAAATTTCCCAATGCTCAATAATGTTAAACGCTTGAAAAAGGTTGGGGCGTAAAAGCATTCAACCCAAAAGAGGAATAAGTTTCTTTAGGATAGCAATAGTGTAGTCACATTCACCAAAAAAAAAAGGTGCAAGTGATTTTTCAAAGCATTAAAGCAAAAATCGCAACCTGGTGAATCAGGAAATCAAACATCCGTAGTTTTCAACCCATGTTTGAAAGCTAACCAAGTAAAAGCAAAAAAACGCAAAGCATAACATTTGGGCCACACGAATTTATGCCATCACCAAAGAGGAATCGGAATAAAATTGCATTTTATCAGAATTAAGCCACTGGCAAGACATATCCATATCAAAGATAGGAACAGAAGAAATAATAGTAGTAAGTGGAGCGGGGATATTAGGAGGGAGGCACTAACTTCCATTGAAAAGAAAGCTGCTCACATGTAAATGAGAGAAGCTAAAGAGAGAATTCTCCATATGCATATTCCCCAGCCTATCCACAATAGAAATGTCATAGCACCAAGGATCCCAAAGTAGGGAAAGAGAGCTGCTGCCAATGATTTTAAAATTAAGACAATATTGAATTTTCTTTGCCACACAACAGAGAAAGTTCCAATAAACATAACCATGTCTAATGCTAGAGTTCCAAAAAGAGATAGAAGGCTCTTAGCATTGAAAAACCTCTAAATTAGAGAACAACCAAAGACATCATAGAAAGAATCTATGGCAGGAATACCAATACCCTCAAAATTGCTTCGGTTTACATGGTGTCTTTCAAAGAAATCATATGCAACTTCCTTTTATATATATCACCATAATATAAGAATCTAGAGCAGATTCTAATAATAATTTTGCAACAATATTTGGGCATTATGGCCCCTCTGATCTAGTAGGCCAGGAAGTTGTATGTAGTAAATTTTAGAAATTGAATTCTCCCAGCAAAATATACGGTTTTTGCTTTCCAACTATCCAAGGAAAAATGAATCTTCTACATCAAAGGCTGAAAATTAAGAAATGAAGCCTCCTAGTAAAGATAATGAAATTACTAGATGGACAAGAGGGGGGTGAATTGTGAAAGACTTATAGCAATAAATAAAACCTAAACATGAGTTCTAATATTTTTGATATTTTTTAAGGTTTTAACATGAAAATAAAGTGCAATAATGGAATCCTGTTCAATCACAATATTTCACCAAGCAAATATACTGAAAATGAAAAATGCACGCAAGAATAAAAACGATAAAGAAAAAGCACACCGGATTTTTATAGTGGTTCGGTCAAACCATGACATACGTCCACTCCCCGGAGTCCTCCGCTCCGGAAATTTCACTACAAGCAATAGCTCTCCTTTTGCCCCCCCTCTTGGCAAGGCGGAGAAGCCCTTACAATACTCCCTTTCACCAACCCGACGTGGCGGAGTGTCGAACTCTATTTTTCACCTTCCTGGCGACGGCAGAGAACCTTCTCATTTTTTCCCCTCCTAGAGAAGGCAGGGTACCTCGAGGTCACGGATGTAGAAGAGCCTTCCCCTTGGAGATCCTCTCACAAATTCTTCTAGGGCCACAGGAGGAGCAAGATGCAGCAAGTTCGGAGCAACCGTGTGATCTCCCTCACACCTCTTCTCCCTCACAACCCTCACCTTCTCCTTCCTCTCTCAAACCCTAAAGAACTTCTCAAGAGCTCTCTCCCTCGGAATCCCTCTCTAACCACGTTCTCCTCTCTGATTCACTCACAGAAAACATAACTATTTTGACACCTAAAACGGGCTCCAAAATCCCTGAAATTTCATAGTCGTCGTTACTATCATACAGTACGATTTCTAATCGTACGGTATGATATGTATACCAAGCTTCGTCCTGGTACGAAGATGTACGAACAGTACAAAATTAATCATACAGTACAATAATGAATCGTACGGTACGATCCTCAACATTACTGATCGTACAGGACGATAGCCGGGACGATCAAATGTCGTCTCTGTTCATCGTATTGTACGATACATATCGTACAGTACGAATGATCAAAATCAAGGCATCATCCAGGACGAATTCTAGGACGATCAAGAGTCGTCTTTGTTCATCGTATAGTACGATCTACATCGTACTGTACGACGAGGCAAAAACAATGGATCGTCCAGGACGATCTCCGGGACGATAAGAATTCGTCTCTATTCATCGTATTGTACGAACTGGTTCGTACAGTACGGTATTCAATTTGAAATTAAGCCTTGAATTATTCCACTAATCACGGGTTAATTTAAGTAAGTATTTAAAATAAATCGTACAATACGAACGGCGGAGAAAAACTTATTTAAGTTAATTTGACGGCTAGGATTTTGAATTTGAACATATCATACAGTACGATGTTGATTCGTACGGTGGGATCTATTCACAGAATCGTCCTAAAAGCTCAGATCGTACGGTACGAAATAACTTTGTACATTACGATCTACAGAGAAAAAAAATCTCCAAATTTTTCTTTTAAAAAACCCTCTCCCCCTATGTGTGTGCATGGTTGCTCAGACTTTTATGCATTTTGTGGCCAGACTCGAAAAAATAAAAATTAAATAAATAACAAAATACATTGTCAGACTCATACTCCAAATCTGCCCATTCTTGAGTCTTCCTGTCGTCCTGAGTAGCTTGTGATCTTCCTGAAATGTTAGTACTCACAGACAATAACAAACAAAATAATATTCAATGAATAGATAATTCAGACGACATTATTTGTCATCATCAAAATCTCAAACTCGGGGTTATGGGTTGCAACATATAAGAATGTCAAGATATTTGATAAAAGAGTTGTATAAAGGAATATTTAGGATTTTGGAAATGGTGGGCTCCTCCACCACATTTCTAGAGAGAAATATATATATATATATATATATATATATATATATATATATATATAAACCTGCCCATTTCTCCCAAACGGCCCACCACTCCAACCTGCCCACTACAAATTGCCCACTATTACAATCGGCCCATGTTCATGGATTTGGGCACAAGCAGCCGGGCCAAAGGGTGTGACCCAGGCGAGTCGCAGGCGGGCCAGCAAACAACGGGGCAGCGGGCGTTTAGCTACCAATTCGATCATGGGCCCGATTTTTGGCTCGGACAATCTGATTTAGACATTTTTGGAGTCTTCATAACCGTTTTTCGATATTCTAGACTCAATTTTGACACTTATTTTCGAAAAAATCAATTTATCCCTCATCATGACTTTCAAGGGTCCTCACTACTAGCTGATGCAAGTCTCAAAGTATTTTATTTTAGTCGGGTTTATGTAGGTTATAGTTGATCCATATGATAATAATTTTGACCTCTACGAGCATATTGCTCACTATAGGATCATCATGCACATTCAAAAAACTTCTAATGTAGCCTTGATCAGGTCATCCAACTTATATGAGATAAGTTTGCACCTAGTTCTAGTCTCTTTAAACAATTTAAGATAGCAAAGACATAATATCTTATATAGGAGAGTGAGTTACTGAGTTTTTTTTTTAAATTTGAGTTAGTGGTGTAAACCTAATACATGATGTGAGATATAAGATATTGTTGCAATATGATTTTGAGTGTCGACGGACGATGACAACTAGTTTCATCTTATTTTGTCATCTGAATATTTTTATTTATATGATATGACATGATATTATACCTTCTCATAATTGGTAGAGAAAAAATACCACATAATATGATTAGCTAGAATATTTGACTTTATATTAGTGTGTGCGCACGCGCGTGCGTAGTTCACGAGGAGAAAGAGAGAGAGAGAGATTATGATGAGGATTGTTGTGCCCCCGCCTGTGCAAAATATCATTTATATAAAATAATATTAATTTAAGTAATTCGAACCTTGCTCAAAAGGTGACATTGAACTAGTTTTGACGACCAATCATTTAGAATACACATAGTACTAATGACTCATGCTAACATTAACTGACTTGAATTTTTTACTTATTACATCGATCAGCCATATTAATTGGCATGAGTGTCAACATGCCAAATTTGATGTTACTTACTGATAACAATTTGACAATAACAGACAACTTTGGAGCAACATATATTAATGAACACAACTCTCCTTGGCCTATTGGTTGAGAGCTTAGGCTTCCAACTAAGAGGTCCAAGGTTCGAGTCCATGTGTATGCGTTGTGTGTGTGAGTTTGCCTTAAATGGCCTAAATGTCCCAAAAAAAAAAAAAAACATATATTAATGATCGAAATCTACCACTATAAGTTTACCTATAAACATCATTTGACCTTCACGCCATTCTTTGACTCATTGTTGTTTCCTCATTGGTGCTGGATTTATGATGACACCAAAATAACGATGAGAAAATTACATCATTGTTAATATGTTCTCGCAAGAGTTATCACAAGGTGTTAAATATGAAAATTTATTAAGTGCGAAGTATGGACGTTATCCAGATTTCAATCACGTGAAGACACATGATTTTTTTCCCTCTTATGCACACAAGGTGTGAACAAAAGAAAAATATCTTCATATGATTGAAATTCATGCTGCTACAAGTCTAATCCACTATAATAGTCAAACTTGAAAGATAAACATTCAATGATGCCTCTTCTTAAAATTTGTTTCAAAACTATGTTTCTATTTAAATATCAATGTTTTTTTATACATTCGTAACCATGTAGGCCATCTCCAACAGAACACTAAATGAATGTTTGTCGTCCGCCGTCAGCTCCACAAAAATGTAAAATTCAACTGCATTCTCATGACAAAAACAAACAAACTTCACAATCGTATTTTTTTTAATCAAAAAAATTGATAAATGTAAAATTGTGATTAAAAATAAACAAAATTGCGAAATTTTTTTTTTAATGCCAAGAAACCAAATTCCATTGAAGATGAGTTACTGTATGATATGGCTATTGTTGCACTTTAAAATAAAATATATATTTTTTAGTTGAAGATAGCCTAACATCATGTTACTCTTAGGCTTCGTTTAAGATGACTTTCTTATTGCTTCTTAAAATATTTTTTAAATTAAAATATATATTTTTATATTACAAAATTGCTTTAAGTAGTAAAAATGCTATTTCAAACAAAATCTTAGTTATAATTTGACCAAAATTTTAATTAAAATTGTTACATATAGAAATAAATAAACCATGAAAAAACCTACAACCCATCCACAAAAAACGCAACATCACAAACTTCAAACATAGTCTGGTGAGCTTCTAATAGAAATAGTCGGAAAGATAGTCTAATTTAAACAAAAAACCTCAACCACGTTTCTCATACAAATCAAAAGCTCAGACATCACGATCTCTTTGGCACTCAGCAGGCATCGTCGGGTATCTGCTCCGATCGGTGCAATAATTGTAGATCGTATATCTCTCCCTGACCCAACGGAGCCGGTCGTACTGCTTGGCATCGAGGTTGCGAAACTCGTTCTGATCCCACCACCGCCGGCCCTGAGTGGCGCAGAATGTTTCGTTCGTGGAGGCCTCGCAGCCGTCGATGTGGAAGCCGCGGTAGGCGGCGATGAAGGGAGCATTGGCCCAGTTCGTCTTCTCGAGGCCGCCGCGGGTCGCCCAGTCATCGGCATTCCAGAGGCTGGAGTAGAGCTTCATCGGCTGATTGAATGGGTACCGAACGCCGATGTCCTTGCTGTTCTTGAATACCCGGATGGGCACATCATCCACGAAGAACCTGTGATTAGTTTGTTCAGAGAGGCATTTAGTCGAACAGTTGTGTGGAAGCTGATGATTGGGTTTTCTATTTACTTGGGCTTGTTTGCTTACTTACAAAACAAGAAGCTATGAAAAAGACATGAAAATAAACAAAATCTTCAAAAATGATGGGCAATAGTCCGCTCTCCAAGGGGAAGCAGAGATTAACTAGCATTCATCATCGTCCTTCAAAAACATCTAATCCCATGATTACAAATAGAGACTATCCAAGGAGCCAAAACCAGCCAAATTGGTAAGGAAATAAGCCTCCAACCAGCCAAAAACCATCAGCATAACCAGAATTCTAAGAGCCAATGCAATCACCCCAGAAGCTCAAAGAAGCAAATGTTGAAAAAAATGATAGCTTTTCCATTTTGATGGTTTATAAGAAATAGCCCTGCTTATTTTAGCAGCAGTGGTAGCATGACAGTCAAAAGAATTGTCAAATAATCTATCATTTCTAGCTCTCCAAATATATTAACGGGTAGCATATAATAAAAGATAGTAAAAGCTTCTCACATCCTTACAAATTTCCCAATCCTCAGGAATACTAAATGCTTGAAAAAGGTTGGGGCGTAAAAGCATTCAACCCATAAGCGGAATAAGTTTCATTAGGATAGCAAAAGTGTAGTCACATTCATAAAAAAAAGGTGCAAGTGATTTTCCAAAGCGTTAAAGCATAAACCGCAACCTGGTGAAGCAGGAATTCCCCTCAAAATTAAACATCCGTAGTTTTCAGCCCATGTTTGAAAGCTAAGCAAGTAAAAGCAAAGAAACGCAAAGCATAATGTTTGTGCCACACGAATTTATGCCACTATCAAAGAGGGATCAGAATAAAATTGCATTTTGAAGGTACAGAAATTGGGCTTATCAAAATTAAGCCACTGGCAAGACATACCCATATCAAAAATAGGAACAGAAGAAATAATAGTAGTAAGTGGAGCGAGGAGATTAGGAGGGAGGCACTAACTTCCATTGAAAAGAAAGTTGTTTAGAGATAAATGAGAGAAGCTAAAGAGAGAATTCTCCAGATGCATATTCCCCAGTCAATCCACAATAGAAATGCCATAGCACCAAGGATTCCAAAGTAGGGAAAGAGAGTTGTTGCCAATGATTTTAAAATTAAAACAATATTGAATTTTCTTTGCCACACCACAGAGAAAGTTCCAATAAACATAACCACGCCAAATGCTAGAGTTCCAAAAAGAGATATATTTAGCTTTCCACCATTAACAAAGAAGACTCTAAGAATTGAAAAACCTCCAAATTAAAGAAAAAACAAAGGCATGATAGAAAGAATCTATGGCAGGAATACCAATACCCATAAAATTGTTTCGGTTTACATGGTGTCCTTCCAAGAAATCATATGCAATTGCCTTTTAGAGATATCACCATAATATAAAAATATGGAGCAAATTCTATTAATAATTTTGCAACAAGATTTGGGTATCATGGCCCCTATGATCTAGTAGGCCAGGAAATTGTATGTAGTAAATTTTAGGAATTAAATTCTCCCAGCAAAAGATAGGAATTTTGCTTTCCAACCATCCAAGGAACAGTAAATCTTCCATATCAAAGGCTAAAAATTAAAGGAATGAATCCTCCTAGTAAAGATAAGAATATCAAGATATTTGATAGAAGAGTTGGATAAAGGAATATTAAGGATGCTGAAAATGGTGGGCTCCTCCACATTTCTAGAGAAAAAATAGTGTTTTTTTCACTATTAACCCGCAAATCCAAGTTATTAGTAAAACGAGATAGCAAATCTTAGAGAGTTTGAGCATTCTTTAAGGTCTCCTTACCAAACGCAAGCAACTCATAAGCATAAAGAAGATGAGATATAGTTATGTTATCCATAATTATCCCATGAAAGGTGTTGTTAGATGTGGTTTCCTCAAAGCAAGAAGAAAGATTATCCATGATAATGCTAAAAAGGTAAGAAGAAAGAAGGCAACCCTATTTGAGACCAGAAGAGGAGTTGAAGTAGCCTTTCAGAGCACCATTAATAGAAATGGAAAAGTGAAAATCAGATATGTAGCCTTTGATCCAAGATATGAAGGATGTAGATAAACATTTGGCAAGAAGACAATTAAGCAAGAATTTCCTATAAGCTGTATCAAACTCCTTGTGAATGTCAAATTTTACATGCAAATACTTGTTTCTAGCATTCAAATTAAAAATTCCCAAGAAGCTCAACTGCCAAAAGAATATTATTATAAATAATTCTATTTTTGATAAAACCTGTTTGGCTCGGGTATATGATGGAAGGCATAACCTCTTTCATTCTATTGGCCAAGATTTTAGCTATAAATTTATAGAAGGTATTGCAAAGGGATATTTGCCTATAATCAGATATATTGGCTGCATGAGGACACTTAGAAATCAATGTTATGGCAGTAGCCTTAACTTGTTTTGGCATAGAGGCAAAAGAGAAATACGAAAAAACTGCATCACAAAGCTAATTGCCAATAGAATTCCAAGTTGATTTGTAAAATTCAAAAGTGTAGCCGTTAAGTCCAAGGGCGAAAATAAAGGGGGGGGGGGGGGGGGGGGGCAAAAAAAAAGGGGGGGGGGGGGAGGGGGGTGTGTGTGAAGATAATATACTTAATTTGTTTCACAGTGACTGGGCAATTAAATTAGGAATGAGGTGAGGGATCATGCTGCCAATATGAACAATGCTACTATCAGAGATAGGCATATTGGGAGTATTAAAAAGCTTTCGGAAATGTTAGATGATAGAATTGCTAATATCAGTGGGTTGGGTGAGAACACCATCAACAGTAGTTATAGATTTGATTAGATTAGTGTTGTCTAGCATTAATCTATAGAGTAAAGAGACTTTAAGTCATCTTCCGCACAACACAACCATTTTGCTTTAGCTCTTTGGGCAATCTAGGTAAACCAAGCAAAATTTCTCTCAGAGAACTTAAGATTGATGGATTTTAAGGCTACGTTCAGGTCTAGATTGATAGGCATATTCTGAATTTAGCCTACGAAGAAGTTTTGAATATTAGTGATATTCATGATTCCTTGCTTGTGAGAATTGGAGGCCCAAGGCTTGAACTTGATGCTGACTAGCCTTGAGTTTGTGGTAGAAAGACCATTAGGGCTGCTATGGGAGTGTTGAGAAAATGAAGTAATGACAAAGTCCCAAAAACCAAGCTGAAAAGCCCGATAATTTTTATTAAAGAATCAATGCTTCTGTTGGGGGGTAACCACATTGTGCAGAATAATGGGAGAATGATCATAAATCTGAGGATCTCCCACTTTATAGAATGAATTGAGGTATGATTCAAGCCGAACATCATTTACCAACACTCTATCAAACTTTATATAAATATGATTATCAATTCTCTGATTATACCATGTGAAATAGTGCCCAACAGAAGAGAGCTCATGAGGACCAATGTTAAAGATCATATTTTTGAAATCGGATAGCTTGCAGTTGGTTAGGAAAAGCCCACTTGCTTTTTCATGTGAAAATCTGCAGCAATTTAAGACCCCTAAAATAATTCAGGGAGTAGAAATAATGCGAGTTAAATCCAAAGTCTATTTCCAGAGAATTTGTCTATCCTCCAAAGAGTTGGAAGCGTAAATCACAAAACACAGCAAGAAGCATTAATATCAGAGTAACAAAACAAGCAGTCCTAACAACTTTTTAACTAATTTTTAAAATAAAATTTTAGTACACAATTTTAAAATTGAAAAAAAAAATACTAAAAATTTATTTTTTTAAGAAAACTTTCCCTAATAAAATCTTAATATTTTGCTGTAAACTAAATAAATATAAGAGGATTTCAATGCGTGGCTGGAGTCTAATATCTATATTTTAATAACAGTATATATATAATAATTTTAACAAAATTTAAAATGTTTTGATATTACATAAATAAATATAAAATTTTTAATAAATCTACCTTAATTTCCGATCTAATTCGGAACTCCGGTCAATCTACGCAGACAGTAATGCTAAGATGCTAACAAAAATATTAAAAAGAATTTCTAAATGACATGTACCAAGCACGATAATTCCTTCGCAGATCGGCCCGACAGGCCCACATGGCTAAAAATTTCTTCGCAGATCGACCCGACACGCAACTCTGACCTGATAGCATCGGCCTCACAATGGTAAAAGGTATACGGCTGTGGGTCCGATCAAGTCTATTATTGTTTACACGCATTATGAATGCTGGATTCCCGGACATGCCCACATGGCCTCAGTCCCCGCTTTTCCTTGTTCAAGAAATGTTGGTGCGCGCCCATGTTGAATTTTAAAAACATTAAGATATTTACAGAATAAAAATAAATTTATTAATTAGATATGTACTATATTCAGTTTTAATTAATATAATAATTATAAAATCTATCGTCCATTAAATTTTTATCAGATTTACTGAACCAACCTTTTCTCCTAGCATGTGATACCTATAAGCTTCGTTCCGGCAAATAAAATATTCCTATAATTTCCCGATAGTTCTAGTGGATTATCTACGGTTCTACAACAATCGAACGCTTTGAATTAAACTAATTATTTCGAGCCTGTTTGGTTGGCTGAAAACAAATGTAGTGAAAGACAGGGCAGTTTGGTTGGGCAAAAAATAAATACAATATAAAATAAAAATAATATAATATAAAAGAAATATTTTAGAGTTATTTAAATGAATACAAAATAAATTTAAATGAATAATTTATTTCATTTGTTTTAAAATAAAATTAATATAATGTAAAGTTTAATGTTTAAAGATTATAGTGGCGACTAGTAGGTGAGGGCGGCGGTGGGCTACATTTGGCAATCGCAGCCGGCAATGGTAGCTGAATAGTAGAGCAAGAAATGCCCGAAGGTTGGGGGTGTCAGCTCCGGAGGCGTTTGATGTCGGTGATGGAGGCTGGCAATGGGCAATCGCGGCTATTATTGTTGACACTCATTTTTTTGCTTGAGGTATAAACAATTCTAGCTCAAAATTGAGCAAGAATTGTTTACCACAAAAATGAGCTAAATTATTTTACACAACATTTACTGTGCTTTACCTTGCATTTCTTTTCATCCAACCAAACATCAAACTTTCAAAATCCCTTTATTCAACTTACTTAACACCAATTTTACTTTCAAATGTAATGCACTGTATTTGAAATATTTGAGAAATGTATTGATCTATGATGCACCAAAACTTCTCCTGAAATGTCTGGCATTATCCGACACAACACATGTCCGGCACTCTTCTGACACGTGTCAGACATGCCGAAAACATGTCCGATTAAAAACATATATATTAAATGCAAATTTTACACTTGTGTCCGACATGCATCTTCAATATTTTATGAAATTTTTTAAATAAAATTTCTTGTATTTAAAATTTTATTTATTTAAAATATAAAAACTAAATTTCTTATTTACTATCAACAACATCAAATCAATCGTCCGCACTCAATAACACATATTGAATATTCTCATTTTCATTTCTCTTTGGCGTGTCGTGAGTTTGGTTTCACAACAATGTCTAATGTAATCTCAACAACAATGTTTGACGTCATTACAACATCGACATTTCAAAATCATCTCAACACCAAAGTTTGACACTGTCTTGACATTGATACTCGGCAGTAGCAATTTCTGCACACATAATTTGACAGCTCATCTTTGTCCAACATCTTCTTAACATTGAACACCAATATCCTCTCAACATCGACGACAAACGTCCTCTTGATATTGACATCTGATACTTACTGCATAACATTGATGTCAATATCTCAACAGCATTTGCGTCTCCTCTCTCGATGTTTGATACACGATATCAATGCCCAGCTCTCGACATCATAATATTACTCATTTTAAGCACAAATTCTAATTAAATGACTTGTTATTTTTAAATTATTTTTAATATTATACTTATTTAATTTTTAAACACTTTTTAAAATATAAACTATAATATCATGTCTAACCCATATATGTATCCTATATTTTTAATAATTGATTTGTCCCATGTTCATGTCTGTGTCATCGTGTCCATATTTGTGATTCAAAGGTATGGATGAGTGTCAAATAAATGTGAAGAACTATTATCTTTATTTGATTTGAAATAGAAAAAATGAAATGTAAAGACCAAAGATAGGATGCTCAATAGCAAGGGCGGCCAACACCAATGGAAGACTGCAATTGCTAGTGATTGTGGTGGTCAGCAATGGTGGCAGTCAAGGTTGATGGTTGTCGCCTCCGACGATGAAGTTCAAGTGTATTCACAAATCATCCAAATCAAAGAAATTTCAAACACAAAATTGAATTAAATAGATAATTCTAAATACACCAAAATTTTACACTTAATTTGGTTTACTTCGAATCAAATATCAATATTCTTCAAACCTCATATATTTGGATACTTTACATCCCTTTTACTTCATACCAACAACCACTCCACAAACAAATTGTATAAAAATAATGACAAGCAAAGAAAATCATGCATAATAAAGTATATAAAAATAATATTAAAAAGATATCTATTTATATTGATTTGATTCTAAATCAAACATACCTTAAACCAATCGTGCTTGGCTGAACATTACAAGGAGGAACTAGGGGTGCAAACAACTCGATCCAACTTAGAGTCACTCATAGCTTTAACTTAAACTTAATTAATTAGTCAAATTTGAGCTCAAGCTCAAGTCAAATCATAAGAATTCAAGCTAACTCATTTATAATGAAAGCAAAAAAATAATTACTATTCAAACAATCATAATAATAATATTATAAAATAAAAAAAATAATAAAGAATAAAAATAAAATATAATTTTTAAATATTTTTAATAATTTTATATTTTGACTCCTACCTTTTAATATATTTTATAATAGGATTTTCTACGGAGCTGACTCATGAGTTGAGGAGCCAAATTGATGCTAGTTCAAACTTCGCTTGTTTTCTAATCGATTTCGACTCATGAGTCATTTATTGAGCCGAGCTCAACCCGACACACAAATCGAATTGACTCACTTACACCCTTGATATTAAGAACCAAAACTAAACCCATGGAAACGATTTAATTTGTACTGCTTGACTAGATTTAAATTAACTAAGGGGTGGTACTCAAAAATTTCATTTCTTATTAACTCATACAACACATAAATAATAATAAAAGTAGTACTAATAATAATCAAAATTTGACATTGTTGATATTTCTTTAATGTCCAAAGACACCGATCCCATGCCGTAAGTTCACGCGGCAGTAATTAAAGAAATGGAAGAGATTTAAGTAGGATTTAACCTAAATAAGCAAAAATAACACCTTTAAATCCCCCTAAAAAATTAAAAAAAAATTGGGTGCATTGAGTGACGTGGCATGTCCCGATTAGCCTCCGGACAGATTCAAACACCGCACACAATAATCTCTCCTTTATCACAAGCCACCACTCCCATTGGAAAAATTATTATGTGTGGATGCTGGACGAAGCCTACGTCTCAATGTCGTGGTATCAAGCGGTACCGAGCCTCAGTACCAAGGATGGTACTGAGGCTTTGTACTGTAAAATAATGACATGATGCATTTCTATTGATCTTCCGATGGCATTAGGTGTCCGCACAAAATAATTTTTACTCCCATTGATACCTTCTCGAGCGTTGGTCCCATTGATCTCTTTTCCAGTGAGATCCTACAAGTTTTACAAACAAATAGGAGCCAATCTGATTATTATTATTTTGTTGGGAATTTTACATACATACCACTTTATACCATACTATTTACATATTTAATATCCAAAACTTTAATAATACATATATATCACTCGATATTATTTTAATATCAAATATGACACTCATATTTCCTTTCTTGCACTCATATATTTCATTTCTATCACTCATATTTGATATGAAAATGAACTAAGGGTGATATATATGTAATATTAAAATTTTACATATTAAATATATAAATAGAGTATTATAGAGTGGCATGTATGTAAATCTCCCTATTTTGTTTTAGGTGCTTTTTAAGTTCGCCGTCGTTAATTTTGTCTGTGTAACAAGCACTATTTGTAAAATCATTTGCTCAAAGCAAAATGTGAGTGGGTAGAGGGACTACTAGAGGCAAACAAAAGAGAAGGATAGAGCAAGAGAAGCTTACACAGTCTGGTACAGGTTCCAGAGAACAGAGTAGTAGTGGTAATCCTTGGTGGGATCAAACCATAGATAGATCCTTTGCTCCCTATCTCCCTTTCCTCCAGTGAACACATTGGTCTGCAGTATATAAGGCTGCCCTGTTCTGTTCCCCAGAAACTCAAAGTCTATCTCATCATGCTCTGTATTCTGAGAGGAAAGCTGAAGAAGAGGAAGTTTACATAAGAGATGTTAACAAGTTATATTTCCTGAAGATAGAGAACAAGTAGAGAAGTACTGACATAGAAAGCAGTGACAGTTCCAGCGGAGTCACCGGGAACCATTTTTATCTGCATATTGAAGTGGCCAAAGAGGTAGGAGCCTCGAGACTGGAAGCCGGTTCCGGAGTACTTGTCCAAGTATAGCTGGATCTCATTTCCGCCATTAAAGTACTTGATGTGATCGCCGGCCCAGGTTGGCACATAGTTCTTCTGGAAGGGAACGTTAATGGCTTTCCTTGGTGCGGCGGCCATGGCTGTAGACAGGAAGAAACAGAGAACCAGAACGAGAACAACATGAAGACAGGAAGTGGAAGCCATTTCTTAGCAATGGAAGGGTAAGAGAGGAAGGAGGGGGCTGAAGGGTCAAGTTCGGGGTTTTAAGTTCGAGGGAGGCAAGCCCAGCTTTATTGCTTTGCGCATTTGTTTATTGCCTTTAAGTGAGAAATGTCTTCGTTATTTATGTCCTGTTTGTTGTGAATAGCGCCAAGGAACTAGCCCTGAAAGAGAATTGACATAGACTAATAAATGAAATTCCAAGAAAAAAACTAAATGGTTGAATAAATAAAATAAAAACGGCAAATAAAATAACTTTTTTGAAACAACTAAATTAAATAAATTTGAGAATATGCTGTTATTATCCATTTGATTATATTTTTTTTTACAAAAAATTATGATTACATCACTTTTAGAAAGGAAAAAAAAAATCTCATCTAAAATCTATAAGTACATTATATTTATATACATTATGAATAATTTTTTTCACAGCTTCTAAATCATAAAAAAATATGAAGTTTTGACTTTGGTTTGCTATTCAAATAATTTAATACAAATTTCTTTTCCAAATCTCTTTATCCTAATTGTCCAATCTTCCCTCTCGTTATGAGAATATATTATTAATCATCTTACATAATCCATTATCTTATATATACCATCATCATCATTAATCAATGTTTGAAGCTCTCCCTCACCTAACATCTAATGTTTGTTGTCACCCATCATGATTAATGAATAATGAGCAATGCATTATTTCTAATATTTCTCATCATCCAATCCTACTAATTTTCAATACCTATCACCTACCATTAACTTGGACATCATTGAACTCCCTCCATCATCGTAGGAGACATTTTGATGTAGAACTACGTATGGATGCAATGAATTTATTAAGATATTGCACAACTCTTGATTAGAGAATAGCGACAAAAACTACAAGCATTTAAAACAACAGAATAAAATGTAAGAGGGGTCACGCCCGCTTAGGATAAATCACATAACCAGAGATTTAAAACTTCAAAATAAATTAGAAAACAATATCATGCCAGAATAGTAGCTTCAATAAAAATCTCTAATCTAACAATGAGATTAGCAAGCACATAAATACGCTCAAAATCTTACGTTTACTAAGCTTAGCAAAAACAGGTGACGGCCGGCCTTCGTGACTACAATCAAACCACGAGAAAAGTTAGATTCAAGAAATAAGAGAAAATGGGAACGTAGGAAACCTTCGTCAAGGATTGATGGTGATCCTCCACTCGATGATCTCCAATTGCTCTTCGATGGCTCTACCAAGGTATCCAAGATTCATTCGATGTAATCTTCCACCATGTGGTCGTCCCTCGGGTTGACGTCAAAGAATGTTGAATGTAAGATGCACACAAACTTGTGCTCATCGTAGGAGAGGCTGAATTCAGTTTCTGGACCAGCCATCCATAAAAGCTAGATTACGAAGTTTTCCCAATGATTGCTAACACTCTTGAATATTGTTGGAGAGAAAGAAGTTTCTCTTCAACTTGAAATGGGTGGGAGCCAAAGAGCAATTTCCCTTCCAAAATATGAAATTAGTTTCACAATTTTGAAAGTAGAAGATGGGAAATCTAGGGGGAAATCTCAATTCCTAAATTCCGGTGGGGAGTTAATGAGAGAGAGAGAGGGGCGGGTAAAGAGGGGAGGCCTGCGGCTTGGATGAGGGGAGAGGGATTTAGGGGGAAAAAATTTGGGTTTCTAAGTTTAGGTTTAGAGTTTAGGAAAAATTTGATTAGATCCAATTTAATTTGAAAATCAAATTAGAATTGATTTTCAAACTTTCCTAAAATAATTTAGGAGAATGATGAAAGGATTTGAATTTAAAACTCAATTGATATGACTCCCAAATTGATCCCAAATAAATTCAACCTAAATTACAAAACCCAAAGTATGGAAAGTGGAGTGGGGCTGGCAATTTTGCCAAGCAAGGCCGGCGGCTATAGGGGGGATTGGGAGGAAATTAAGGATGATTTAATGCTCCCTTAATTTGGGTGATTAGATTTAGAATAAATTAAGTTATCCTAATTAATTCAAATCCCAATGTAGGGAAGATTTGAAACTTTCCTAAAATAGATTTTATAATTTAGAAAAGAATTTAAATTTCAAATTTGGTAAAATTTGAATTCAAAGACCAACTAAATTATGAAAATCCAAAATTAGGAAGTAACCAAAGTAGGCAATAGGGGAGGGGGCGGGTTAGGCCGGCGATTTGAACGAGATGGGGGTATGATGCCGACGTCTAGGTGGAGGTGTAGAAGGTGTTTTGGTGGGTGGGAGGAATCAATTTTGGACATGTAAGATCGTGAAGAAGAAGTGGGAGATAGAGGGAATTCGGGGAAAAGAAAAGATACAAGGAAGAACCGCGAATCCGACTTATCTAGGTTGGTGGGTGATGCACCGTTCTCCTTCTCCAAGGGAACTCTCTCCGCTCTCTCAAACTCTCACAAAACTCATGCTAGGAAGAAATTATAGTCAATCATTCATTACTTTGAAAAAACAAAAAAAAAAAAGGTTATAAATAGCCTAGTACATGAGACTCAAGAAATAGAAAGAGGAAAGTGCCCTTGGGGCTTACATACGACATCCCTTTACTAGAAGGGTACAATGAGAAATAAAATAAAATAAAACAAATACAACAACACATCAATAAGAGAATACATGACATAAATCAAAAGTACAATGACTCGATCGTGACCGTAGATCGGCGGCCACGCCTCTGATAAACCTTCCAAGATCTGATGTCCCCATCACATTTCTTATAATATAAATACTAAACTATAATACCACCTTGAATTATAAGGAAAGGAATCTCACCTTCAATTACAAGGAAAGGAAAACCTTTATAATTTTTTGTTAAGATTAGTGCAACTATTTAAACTAGGCTTCATCCTAAAACTCTTCCTTTTTGCATCATGTGCATGTTATTTGCAATTCTTAAATTTATGAATGAAATATGTATACATCATTATGATGATAAATAACTTTCTACCACTATATCAAACATAGGAAGCAATTTCTCACATTTTTTCATCTAAGCAATCATTGATAGTCTCCTCAACTAATGAACAAGGATTATGCTCACAATTTAACCTAGGCTTCCTAATCAAATTCTCATCACTTAAAAGATCAAACCTATGAATTAGGAACATCACAAGCAAGTTTTTTTTTTATATAGGGTGTATGATGGATTTTTGTGTGGTGAGTTGAGGTAATTAATTTTATTTGGTACAAGAAGATGTATAAGAACACAATGGATGTGACTTGAGCTCTGAGAGATCTGAAAGGTGGAGATCAAAGAGTCACTAAGATGCACTAGGGGATAGTAAAGTTTGTCCAATTCTTAGGTGGTTGATTTTGCATGGACTTTAAGGGAAGTTTAGATGTGGCTATATAATGGGTGTAATCATTATATGAATAGTTTAGGATATTAGACAATAAATATACAATAGCTATTAGGGGTTGTGATGTGAGATTTTTTATGTGTGGAGGTGACATAAGATGGATACATGAATTGTGATAGATTTTACTAACTCGATAAACTTGGAGAGAAAAAGGGAATGAAATGTTAAAATTTAAAGAGAACTTGAAGAGTATTAAAGGTAGATATAAAGAATAGCAGTAAGAAATCACACAAAATAGAAGTGGTGCATTAAAAATAAACCTTTCACTAAATAGGAGTTATTTTGTATCACCTAAATAAAAAATGACTTCTAAGCTTTCCCAAGAAAAAAATAATACTTCTTCAATCTTAATTCTATTTTATTTCAATAATCTTTCTTTATAAATTTCATGATATTTGTAAAGAGAAGATGATGGTTTAAAAGGGTAATTAAATAATAGTAAATGTACCATGTAATTTATTTTTTAATAGTATATATCAACGTTTTGAAAACCGGACCGGACAACGGACCGGAAGAAGGAGAGGTTCATGGTTTGACCGGTTCGACCGGTTGAACCGGGGTCGAACCGGATGACATATTAAATAATAATATTATTAAAAATTATGAAATGCTGACAACACAAGTGAATTAATGGTTAACTGTAACTTATTCAGTTTATCTTTAAACTTTATAATGTTCTCCTGTTACATAATATCACTTAGATACTTCTTCATGTTAACTATATATTCTTGACTTTACAAATTAAATTCTCATATGTATTCTTATTCTTCTTTTAAATATCAAGATACTCAAACATTATATCTAGGATTTAACTTATTTTCTAACAAAATCAACTCATAATTCTCAAAAATAGTAAAATACTCATTTCAAAATTACTTTCTGAGAATTAAAGCAAACATTAAAAAATGGAATTTTTCAAAATAAAAATAGGGAGATCAATGTTACCGGCGTTGAATCGATGAAGCAAACTTTATAATGTTTACCACTGAGGCAGCCCTCCTCAAACAAGGCACTGAAAATAAACTTCTTTTCAATAAAATCAACCTAAATATTCGATTAAGAAAAAAATCACAGCGATAAATTGCTTGAGAAATAGGATATCAAACAGGCAAACCATTTCTTGTGATTAGATACTATTTGTCGGCTGGCAAGTAAGATTTCCTCTTGCTCGGCTCTCCCGCTTCCCTGTCCAAATTCATAGGCAGATGTACCATAAAAAAAAGTCAAAGCCAGAATGCAGATGGAAGAGGACCTAGCATGGAGGAGGGTTTGTCAGGTTTGGGGATAGGATTAGAGTTAACCAGGACGAAGGAGGAGCGAACTCGGAAACGCTGAGTACGAAGAGGAACTGGCCTGTGGAAGAGGACCTGGTCTGCGGCTTGGCAACAAGGTTGTCGCCGGCGATAGCGAACTCGAAAACGCTGAGGACGAAGGAGGAGCTGCAGCGATGAAGAGAATCGGAGGAGACGGCGGCTTCGGGGGAGTTACGGGAGCAGTAGAAAATAAATTTAGGTTTACACTTTTTTCTCTTTTACACTATTACAGTTTACATGTTTTACTATTCTAAAATACCACATGATCTCAATCGAACGGCTGAAAATTGAGTTTAAACTT